GAATTCTGGGAACTTCCTCTCTTCCTTCTGGAGGCCGGATACCCTCTCTCTGCTTCACCTTCCTGGTGAGGACTCACATTCAGGAAGCTGGAGGAGCCACATGGAGGCTTACATCAATGTTGAGATGCTTCCATCACCACTGGATCCACAAGATTTTTCACCCATTGGCTTGTGATCTTCCTGCATTCAGCAACATTGCATGTGCTGTGTGAGTCTGAAGAGGAATTTATGGACTAGTATCAGCCACGTGGGCTAATACTGAACTTAGGACTTGACCTGGATTGGGCTGGGATGTTTTCTCAATATACAATTGCCCTTTGATATAAAGCTCTCTCTTACATTATGGCACCTTGGGAATGGGATACTAGAGAAGCAAATCAGGAAGATGGAGAATGGAGGCTTGTCAGACCTGATTTATTTCAGTTTTTCTTCTTTGCCTAGCCAGAGGTCAGATACAGCCGTGCAGTTCACTGGGTTGTTTTTCGGAAAGGACATGGGAAGTGAAGGTTTTGATGCCTAGAATTTGTCTTTGGATATTCCAAAAATATCTTTGGATATTTTTGCCATTTTGAAATGGCAAAAATGAATGTGATAAACGTAAATTTTGAGTTCATTTCAGGGGCGAAAATGCTCCTTGAACTCTGAGGGTGTGCTCCTTAGTCAAAATGGCTGACAGCAGGCCCAGCCCTGGCTTGATGCAGCCAGTGGTCTAAGGCCATATTGCATATTAATTGGATAATTTCGATAAGAAATTATTGAATTTGACTGTTGTAAAAATTGAGTTTAGGATCTGACTCCACTAGGGTTATACTGATTTCTTCTACCTTTGTTTTTGATATAATGTGTGATAGACATGATAACTGGGAAGTATGAATAGTGAGTTTGTAAGGCCACTGTTTCAGACATTAAATTGGATCTGTTAATGGGTTAGTATGAAATTCCTACAAAGAAGGCTCTGAACAGGTAAGCCCCACCCAGTGCCTTGAGTGCTCAGCAGATTTGCATTTGAAGAGACTTACCTAGAGAGCTGTTCTCTGAAGCTGGGAGAGGAGCCATTTGACATTTTTGAATTTTGAACTAGGGATTTGTACCTGAAGCTGTACAAATTTGGAGCCATAAAGGAACTCTCTCTAGGACTGAAAGTTAAAGAGATCCTTTGGGCAGCCTGAAAAGTTCACTAGGTGACCACTTGGATCTACTTTTTGAGTGCAAGTGGGAGAAAAGCAACAATAGAGAGACAGGTTGAATCTGGCCACTGATATTCATGGACCTAGTTCACAAGGACTAGAGAAGATGAGAGTGAGTTGGCTAGTGTGAAGTTTAAAGGGTTGTTTAATGGCAATTTTTAGTCTTTTCTGACATCCACTTTGATCTTTTCTTTCTTTCCTGTCTTTTTAGTGTCCTTTTGTTTTCTTCATGAATGATGTTCTTGCTGTGCTCCCACAGCTCTTGGGTCTTCTGTCATTAGTGTTCAATGCATCAATCTGTTCTGGATGTGTTCTCAAGAGTAAGATGGGATGGACTCAAAGTTGTGTTTTGGGTCTCAAGGACTTGTTCTCATTTTCTTCACTTTCAACCCGAACTTACTTATGAACAGTTGATGGTCTGGTTCACCGTCAGCCCAGACCTCATTTTAGATGATCTTGATTGAGTTTCTCCATCATCTCTTCCCACAGATGCAGTCTGTTTGATTTCTCTGTAGCCCATCCAAAGAAGTCCATGTGTATAGTCGCCATTGTTGTTGAAGAAAGAAAAAAAGTTTTTGCTATGAACAATGAACAAGTTGTTGGTCTTGCCAAACTGTATCCAGCTTGGTTTCTATCACCGACTATGCTTCCCAATTACTCTTCCTTCTTCTTTGTCTCCAATTTTTGCATTCCAATCGCCAATAATGACCAATGCATCTTGATTGTGTGTTTGGTCAGTTTCAGACTGAAGATGTTGGTAAAGTTCTTCAATTTTTTTCATCACTAGCTTTTGTGGTTGGTGAATAAATTTGAAAAATAGTTGTATTGATTGGGTTTCCTTGAATGTGAATAGATATAATTGTACTACAAGATAGATCTTGAAACGTCATTTTTGAAGTTGAATACATCACTCTTCCTCTTGATTGTTTCATTCTTAGCATAGTAGGCCATATGGTTTTCTTATTCAAAATGGACAATACCAGACCATTTCATCTCATTAACACCCAGGATATTGATCTTTATGCAATCCATTTCTTTTTTGACAACTTACAATTTTCCTAGATTCATACTTCGTACATTCAAAGTTCCAATAATAAGATTTTTGCAGTTGTTTCTTATTTGGAGTCACATCCCATCAACAAATGAAGGTCCCAAATGCTTTATTCCCATAGGCTTTATTCATGTCATTATCGTACTCTCCCTCTGCTTTGAGAAGGCGGCTCATCCTCGATCGTATATTGAATGCCTTCTGACCTGAGTTGCTTATCTTCTGGTACTATCTCTGACAATGCTCTGCTGCTATTCATTAGGCCTTCCACATCTGACAATGTCCATTGCTATCCATAAGGTTTTCAGTGGCTAAATCCCCCAAAGCGCACAGCCAATTCCTTCTTCACAGTCTGTTCTTCGGCTAGAAGATCTGCTGAAAACTGTTCATGTTGGGTGATTCTGATGGTAATTGAAATACCAGTGACAGCTTCCAGCATCACAGCAACACACAGTACAACTCATAGTGACTCTGTAAAACAAAATAGACTGCTCCATAGGGTTTCTGAGATTGTAAATCTTTACAGAAGCAGACAGCCTCGTTGTTATCCCAAGGTAGGTTTGAACCACTGACCCTTTGATTAGAAGCCCAAAACATAGCCCGGTCCACTATCAGAATTCCTTTTCCATACCTTATAGAACTATAAAATATCCTCTTTAGCACAGTAGGATGTGTGTTGGGCTGCTAATGGCAAGGTCAACAGCTCAAAAGCACTAGAGGGGGAAAGGGATTTCTACTCCCATAAAGAGTATCAGTGCTGGAAATCCAAAAGGGCAGGTCTACCTTGTTACTATGAGCCCATTGACTCGATGGCAGTTAGTTTCGTTTAGGGAGCTCCGTCCGGAGGGTACCCTCTGGTGGTGAAAGTGGTTAACATGCTAATCAAAAGGTTGAAGGTTTAAGTCCACCAAGAAGAAAGTGCCTAAGAAGAAAGGTCTGATGGTCTACTTCTGAAAATAAACACACCTTTTCCAAGCCCTACTTTGACACATGGGGTCCCGATGTTAATTGAGCTTCCTCTGGAGGTCATCTAGAAAGCCTTTCAGCGAGATAGCTGATACTTGGAAAATAAAGCATGTTGCCAAATCCTTGCTGATCTAATGAAAGCGAGGTTTCCAGCAACCGTCTCCTTCGTGGTTCGTTCATTAACTGGCCACCTAGGAGCAGGCCTATACTTGCTTACACTGAAAATCCTGGCTTTTTAACAAAGAAAGTTACAACTTGAGGATCACAGCAACAGGATAACCTCTCTACCTTCTCCCATACCTACTACATCTCCCAACCAAAAAGTCTTTATCCAGGATCTTCCAGAGAAAGATCCTAAAAGGCCATACATTTATTGTGTATTGAATGAAAAAGTAAAAGTAAGCGTTCCAATAAAAACTGCTGAACCTATAAGGGAATGGGCATAGCACAAAACCCAGTTCAGAAGTAAGGAACTGAAAAGATGTCAAGTTTGAATTACTAAGCATTCCTTGTTAATTATTGCCTGTGCCAGTTAAAGGACCATCTTGAAAGGTATTGCAGGGAAGTGAAATTACTTGGTATAGCTCTGCTATCATAACTCCTGCCCAGGCACTGGGTGGGAGGATGCAAATAAGTTATAAAGGAATCTAACTCTGAGATTAGTCAATTTTGCCATTCGGCTGGGTATGAAAGTGAGCCACCTCAAAAGCAAAACACAGGAATCCCACAGACACCAAGAAAGAAGAGCCACAGTGTGTGTATGAGAGATCCTGTCCTGAAGTGGTGAGGCAGCATAAAGCACATGAGACAAAGCTGTGCGAAAGAGCAAAGGAACAGCACTGAGACCATGAGGAAGAGCCCTGGGTGGGCTTCCTAGCCCACAAAATGAAGCAAAAGCCAAGGGACCTTGTGCCTGAGAGGTCAAGGACCAAAGAGAGACATGCCTGCCAGCATGGTTGAAAAGCAATGTTGTAAACAAATGAACTTTATCCTTAACATTTTGTAACTTGTTTGTGTCCCTAATAAACCCCATAAGTTTGAGTATAATCCTGAATTATACATGGCCATTGCAACAGATTACCACACCCAGCAGAGAATTAGAGCATAATGGGAGGGATGGTTGGTGTCAGGATAGGGTAACGGAGGAGGGAAGGTGGAGGCACGTCTGACCTCTCGCTCATAGTCATCATCCGTAAGCAGATGTAAAGTTGAATTCTCCTTGTGTCACCAGAGTTCCGATAGGGCCCCCACACCATTTTCTCAGGTATGTTCTTAAAGCAGTAGGAGAGGAGTTTTCCTTTATTTCTTCCTTATTTCCTAGTAAAATTAAAGTTTACTATTATTTGTTTATCTAATCAATGTTTTCCAGTTTTTCTTTATTTTCTCTCACTTCTATGTTTCCGAAGCAGTGCATTGTTACACTTTTCTCTGTGTTTCACATACTTTAGACTTACTAGGTCAGTGATCCATCACTGAGGAAGGAGCGTCAGAGAAGGGAGGGAGGACTGGGAGAGAAAGTGAAGATTTCTGTCGGTTAAAAAAGCACGCTTGACATTACCATTACTCTGATTTCTTAAAAACAACAAAACATTTAAAAGGATGCAATGTTATTTGTTTCATGTTGGTTCTCACAGGGAAGCATGAAAAAGAAAGCCTGTTTGGCAAGCACAGTCTTAGCTCCATGTTGCTCCACACTGGAGTGGGACAACACAGTGACGGGACAGCGCCCACCCGAGCAAATCAAACTTCTTGGGATAATTCGTGCTGGAGAAGATGACAGTGAATAACGGCCCGTGCAGAACAGTCAACAGAGATCTTTAATTGGAAGGTCAGAATTTAAGTTTGACATGCACAAAGTAGGATCTTTCCTACCTACCTAAAGCATACCGATACTTCTCAGCACAAGTAGGTATACTCAAAAGTTAACACAGCATTGCAAACATTGCGATCTTAAAAGGCAGGGAAGATGTTCTTAGATCACTCTTTTTTTCAGCCACACTTTATCCACAAGAAAGGTCACAACCACAACCTTTTTTTATATATATAAAACAAATGGAATTAATTGTGAATTAATTATATTAAAGAGTTACATAATAATATGTATGATTTACTAGTAGTAGATCATGAATTAATAATAGTAAAAGGCCAGATTGGTAAAAAATAGGAGCCATCTCTTCACCATTGTTGTCAGTAATTTCTTGGCTTATTGGAGCAGCAGAGTTGAGGATTAAGGACACGTTGGAAATTTCCTTAACCTGTTGGCAGCAGTCACCACGTAGAAATGTTTCTTGAAGTAAGGAGAGAGAGAGGAAACAAGGAAAAGTATCTATTTAGACCAATTGGTTTAAGAAGAAACAGTGAGAGAACTTAAAACAAATTTAGCCAGTTGAGTTTGCTTAAAACTGATAACCTAAAAGGAAAAGCAAGTTTCTAGAATAATTGCAGTAGGAAAGCCATATGGGGCTTTCAGGGGCATGTATGGAGTAAATATGAAGCAAAAAGATATGAATCCTTCTGGTTCACAACCCACTAATGGAACATGAAATATATATTCTATATATATAGAATGAAACCAAATAGCATAGAATCAAAATATCAAGGTATATCATATTCTATTAGGGAAACAGTTGTTTAATGTTAGTTTCATAAATGGGTGTACATAGATTGTGTGTGTGTGTGTGTGTGTGTGTGTTTGCATACTGGCTTCCTAAGTAAAGAGTTTATTTCCTGTTGAGGATTTGAGTCCATATCAAACTATTGGAAAAGTTCTTCCCCAGAGGGACAGTTACTTCTAAGATAGGCTGAAATCCATAGCCCTAAAGAGGTCTGTTGTCAGCAACATTGAAAGGCTTCTAAAGCTTATAACTGCTTTCTCATCCCCATTTCTGAAATGTGGAGGAACCAGGCCTCAAACTACAAACCATTAGACCAAGAGCTTGGCTACTGCTGCCATTGAGAACATCTGCTCAAGAGTCAACTAAGTGCTACTCTTACGACACTTTTTAAATACTTTTGTCTGTGGCATTTTAAAATCAGTTGTGTGTTCCCTTGCCAATATGTGTGTGTATATCCTAACCCCTGTACCTGTGATCTGACTCTCTTTGGAACTAGGGGTTCTTTTGTTATGGCAATTAAGTCATGTGAGAATCTGTGCAGTGACACATAGGCACAAGGTGGGGAACAGACACCGTGTGAAGATCTTCTGCAAGTTAAGGAAGGTCCAGGAACTCTGGGATTGCCAAGAAGTGATCCTCCCCAAGAGCCCATGCCCTGATTTGGGCTTCTAGCCTCCATAATAGTAAGGCAAGAACTTCTTGTTCTTTAATAACAACTGATTTGTGGTATTTATGTTATAGCAGCACTAGGTAATGAAGACAGAATTTTTTCTTTTTTCCCCCTAAATTATCTATTTAAAATAAAAATGCATGCCAACATGTAACTTTGATACTTTCAAAGGACATACTTATAAGACCGTTGATTGCTCTCTTCACTAAAAGAAAAAAAATACCTTCCATTTTCTTTGAGCCATGTATTTCTGCAGCAATAGCTGGGATTTGAGACAAACTTTGGATTTTGAAGCTTTGGCAGGCAAGTTGTTCAACCACTCATGTTTCAGGCACTGTGTGGCACTCATTCTGCAGCTGTGAAAGCAAACAGCAGTTGAGACTCTTAGTCGGGGCTGCCTTTTTTCTGGCTGTCCAAGCTTGTGCAACTGGGCGGGCTGCCTGAGTCAATGGAACAGATTAATCATTTAGGCAGATTCATGCCGCAAACCAAAAAGGGAACACCTCATGTCTAATGTTCTCCTCCTTAAAGAAAGTTCTCAGCAAAATGTTCCTTGCTTTCTAAGAGGGGGTGTGTGGCAGGGGTGAATCACCACTTCCCAGAAAGGATTGGGAAGCTGAGGCAGAGAGATGGGAAGGAGAGCTGACTGCGGTTGCCATGAAGCAGTAAGGGAATGTGACACTAAAAAGGAATCCATCTCATTTCTTCTTCACAGAATAAGGCTAGCTTCTTTAGCGGTATTAGCATGTTTTTCTTTCACATAACTTTTCACCATCAGAAAGAAGCAAAACTATAAAAGTCAGGAACTATGACCTGCCTTAGAACCCAGACTTGTGGGCCTGATTCCTAAGTCATTTCGAGTGATTGTTGTCAAGTCCATTCCAATTCATGTGACTGTACATCTGTGTTCCCTAGGGCTTTCCATGGCTATCGTCTTTGTAAAGGACCCTGGGATATACACGAGTTTACACTCAACTACTAATCTCCACAACTCTGAGACCAGAAAACCTAGATGGTGCCCACCTACCACTACCATCTGCTCTGAAAGGGATTAGTAGGTCCACGAGAGAAGAAAAATGTGGAACAAAACTCAAAATTAAAACAAAACCAAACAAGCAAAAAAAAAAAAAAAAACCAGGTTCACTGATCAGATAGAGATGGGTGGAATCCCTAAGCCTATGGCCTTCAGGTTTGAAACTGAACTCATTCTCGTTACTCAGCCTTGATAGAGCTGCTGAAGACAAAGTAGGCCTTTATCACCAAGAAAATGATCTGATCTTTATTCTGATCAATGACATTACATATCTTAAATCTGTCCCCACATTTCCAAAAAGAACCCAAACTCACTGCCACGAAGTCAATTAATTATTCTCATAGTGACTCTATAGGACATATTAGAACTGCCCCTGTGGATTTCTGAGGCTGTAAATCTTTACAGGACTAGGAAACCTCTTCTTTCTCCCTCCCAGAGCCGCTGGTGGACAAACCTCACCTTGTAGTTAGGTGTCCAACACATAGGCCAGGGTTCCCACATCAGCCTGTTGTTGTTATTGCTGTTATTATTAGGTACTGTCCTACCGTCAATCAGTTCCAACTCATAGTGACCCTGTGTATAACAGAACAAAACACTGCCCTACCCTGCGCCATCCTCACAATTGTTATTTTTGAGCCCATTATTGCAGCCACCATGTCAATCCACCTTGTTGATTCGTCTATTAGAATATGATGATTTGGAAATAGGACCATTTTGTAAATAAGTTCCTGTCTAACACTCTAAATATGCTCCTCATTGCTTTTGAGTTGGTTTCCTTGGTCCTTTCCCTACTACGGTTAGTGCTCCAAAGAAGTAGCAGACCAAGAAATCCTGAACAGAACCACTGCTCCATAGGGAGAGAAGGACCTTTCGTTTTGGCAGTCCTGCCCAGCACCCAGTTCGCTCTCCAGACTGAGTGCTCCCAGCACCCGAACCAAGGGCCATGTTTCAGTGACAAGCATTAAAGGGCACCTCTTTTCCTTGACCAGCAGTCGGGAAACGAAGTCCTTGGCCTCCTCCGACAGCCCTTCAAAGGAGTCGGAGTCAAAATCCCAGCTGCAATTCACGATGAAATTCATGGTCTCTGCATCTGTTTCCCCTAGAAATGGGGACAAGCCACTGAGTCTGTGGAGGAGAGAAAGTACCATCAGTATGCGGAAGCCATGTTGCCCAGCTCGCTCCACAGAGCAAAGGAAAAGCCTCCAAACCTTTAAGGAGAACTAACCAGAACTAAACATGTGCGAAAGAAACGCACACTCATTACTTCTCCAAGTGGACAGAATAGAAATTTGGTGGCAGGAAGGGTGTTCAAAGAAGAAGTGGAAAGAATGGGAATTTAGAGGTAAGCAGGGTATTCAGAATAAGTCCCCAAGCATACTCCCATCCACTCCCTGCATCTCAGAAATAGAGATATATGGGAGCTCAACTGACTAGGCCCAGTTACCAAGCACATGTTGATTTAATCTTCTAAATAGCTTACTTTTTCTCTGAGGCAGCCAGACTGGATTAGATACTACCTAGCCTTAGGGGCCTAAGGAAAATGAACTTATGTAAACAGAAAGGCGGGCCATCTACCCTGTTTCCCCGAAAATAAGACAGTGTCTTATATTAATCTTTGCTCCCAAAGATGCGCTAGCTCTTATTTTCAGGGGACGTCTTATTTTTCCATGAAGAAGAATACGGTACACATTTATTGTTTATTGTTTTATTAAAAGAGACCTCGCACTTCCTGTCTGCTCCGGCTGTGCTGCGGCCAACAGTGAGCTGCGCGGCAGCGCCCGCCACTATAGTCCAGAGTCCAGAGTTACAGTAGCTTCAGGGGGCCTTACTTTGGGGGAGGTCTTATTTTCGGGGGGTACCTTATATTTCAGCGAGAGGCAAAACTGTAAGCAGGTCTTATTTTCGGGGGATATCTTACTTTCGGGGAAACGGGGTAACTGACTGGCCTTGGGCCCTGACCCTCCAGCGCCTGATGCAGCACACACATACACAGTTCAGGGGCACAGCATAACAGTTAAACACTAAGTACAAGCGTGATTTTGTTAGGCCTCTGAGGAAATAGCCAAGAGAAGCCCACAGCTGAAGAGAGAGAGGATAGTTAGTCTGCACATGGATCCCCAGTTAGCCCATCCTCACTCTGCTTCCTTGGCCCGCGGAACAAAAGGAGAGCAGGGCCAAGAGTGACAAGGTTAGGATGCAACAGTGTCCTGTCCTGCCCATCCTTCAGTACCCTCCAGCGCCCCTGTAGCTGCCAGCACCTCCTGAAGCTTGCTTTAACCACCCAGAAGTGGCACCCGGTAGTAGCAACTGGTATGTAAGCACCCCTCAGATTCTTCAGGTGGAACATGTCTGACAGGATCCTAGAGTTCCTCAGCAGGATCGAACCCCAGATGGGCACAGGAGCCGCTGGCTCAATGCCGCCTTCTTTATATCGCCTGCCTTCCCGTTTGTGTCTCGCGTCTTCACCTCTTAGTGCGGCTTCTTCCACGATCCCCACCTCCCACCCTTGGTGTCACCAAATCAACGACTTGCACTCCAAGTCTTACTGCTTCTGACGGCACCAAAACTACGGCCACGGCCCTCATGCTTGCTGAGGGGTGGGTCCTGGAATACTCACAGCATGTAGGTGATGACTCCCATGCTCCACATGTCTGTGGGGAAGGAGACAAACTCGTAGTTGACGACTTCCGGGGCCAGGAACTCAGGCGTGCCAAAGTTCACCTTCAGCTTTTCCCGAGGCTTGTATCTGGGGAAAAGGGGTGCAGAGGACCCTGGAAATAGGCTCTGGGAGGAGATGCAGGGGCTGGGATGGATTCCTGGTTGGAGGTGGACATTCCCTCGGCCTCCCTCACAGCCCTATGACCCATGTGATGTCATGGGGAATGAACACGCCCTCAGATGCCAAACTTTGCTCAAACTTGGAAAAAATCAGAAAGCCACCGTCCTCCCTGAGACGTGCAATCTGAAAAGGAAAGAAGATTAATCTAGTCCATTTGACGTGGGGCCGCATGACAGCACAAATAAATGGGCAGAAGCCAGGTACGGAGAGGACTAGTCCGCTGAGGTGCCCAATGTCCCTGGGGGGCTGACAGTAAGAATCAGTAAGATCTTTCTAAGCAGGAAGATGACTGAGCAGGAATGGAGTGGGAAAGGGTACTTTTTAGAATCACCCTGAAAAAGGAGCTTGAGTGACAAGAGATACATTTTAAGTTGTCCTATTTTTCAGGTACTATGCTGAAAATTTAAGATATACATGCCATTTTATTTCATCATCACAACAGCCCTATAAAGTAGGTAAGACTACTGTCTCCATTTTGCAAGTAGGGCAAGTAAGACATGTAATAAAATGAAGATTCGGCCACTATGCCCTACGTCCCTTCAATTAGGGAGGTACGTTTTCAGATCACAGTTTCCTCTATTGCATTGTGCCAAGACGTAGGTGGAACACGGCCTGTGCCCCTCAGTGCAAGGGCAGCAAGGGTTACCTTGATGGTTCATGTTGCCGGAAGAAAGTAGCTAGGGAGCAAGGAGAGAGTGCAAGCCTTCCTCTAGCGGCCTGCTTCTCTCCTGCACTGCCCAACTGACCTCAGACTCAGGCCGAAGAGCCACGCTGAGAGAAATGGGTTTCCCCTCAAGGAGAGAAGGTCTGTACCCGATAGACCTTGGAAATCACGGCCCCAGGTTGCCACTAGCATAACTTACCTGGCTATTTTCAGTGTCGTCCTGCCATACATCCATACCCTTTATCATGTGATTCTGTAGTTTTCAGTGGAGGTGGGATATATTGCCCGTTCATTGAAGGTAGGTTTGGTCATGTGACTGACTTTGGTCCATGTGTGGAGGTGAGAATGGACCAGTGCCAAGGTGGGCCTCAAGCGTGCTCTTTGGTCACAACCATGAAAGAATGAGAGAGACATGTGGAGCAGAACAGCGCTCACTGCTTGCATCTTGGGTCTCAGCCTAGATCAGTGAGTCACTGCAAGTGGTTTACTGGAAAATGATAACCTGCTTTCTGAGGCAAGGAGCCCTGAATTGTGGCATCTGCTAGTTTGGACAGAATAAATTCTGACTTCAGCAAGGCTGGTTTCCAGCTACCATGCTGCCATCATGGAGGGAGGGCAGAGTTGTGAGGAGACGGGCAGTGGTTTGTCATTGAGTGTGTTCCACCATGTAGATAAAATGACCACAGATAACCTCATGAGCACAGAGTAAAACAAACGCAGATCGTAAACTCATTAGAAAGTGATGAGTTTTGAACACTGAGTATCTTTGTTTTAAATATAATTTCTCGAATTATAAGTCTCTATATCTAATTATTATTAATTATAACATGTTTAAAAACTGGCTTACCAAATTCCTTTGCACAAGCCGGCACAAGTTCGGTCTGACATTACCATAACCCCAGCTGGCTCACAAATGTGTAAATGACCCTACACAATTGCTGAAGACAAAGCGGGTGCATAAGCAAATGTGGCGAAGAAAGCTGATGGCACCCGGCTATCAAAAGATATAGCGCCTGTGGTCTTAAAGGCTTGAAGGTAGACAAGCGGCCATCTAGCTCAGAAGCAACAAAGCCCACATTGAAGAAGCACACCAGCCTATCTGACCACGAGGTGTCGAAGGGATCAGGTATTAGGCACCAAAGAACAAAAAATCATATAATTGTAAGTGAGGGGGAGTGCAGAGTGGAGAGCTAAAGCCCATCTGTAGGTAACAGGACAACCCTTTACAGAAGGTTCACGGGGAGGCCAAAAACTAGTACAGTGTAGCAGCAATGAAACATACAACTTTCCTTTAATTCTTAAATGCTTCCTCCCTCCCACTATCATGATCCGAATTCTACCTCACAAATCTGGCTAGACCAGAGGATGTACACTGGTATAGATAGGAACTGGAAACACGGGGAATCCAGGACAGATGGTCCCTTCAGGACCAGTGGTGAGAGTGGCGATACCGGAGGGTAGAGGGAAAATGGTTTAGAAAGGGGGAACCAATTTTAAGGATCTACATAAAACCTCCTCCCTGGGGGGCGGACAGAAGAAAAGTAGGTGAAGGCAGATGTCGGACAGTGTAAGACATGACAAAATAATAATAATTTATAAATTATTCATGAGGCAATATGGAGCAGGGAGGGGAGTGGAATGAGCTGATACCAAGGGTTAGTGGAGAACAAATATTATGAGAATGATGAGGGCAATACATGTACAAATGTGCTTTACACAATTGATGTATGTCTGGATTGTGATAAGAGTTGTATGAGCCCCCAATAAAATGTTTTTTTTTAAATACAAAACAAATGTGTGAATGAAAAGAAATAATTGTTGGAATGGTTTGTTATATGTCAATAGCTGTGGTGAAGTGAAATTACTCAGTATGGCTCTGTAATCCACAGTCTTTGTAACTCCCACCAGATGATTGGATGGAACCAGGCAAAGAGGATGTGTGAAACTCTAATATAGGGAATTGGTCAGTTTTGCCATTCCATTAGGTATAAAGTGAGCCATGTCAGAAAAAGGAACAGAGAATCCCATGACCAGCAAGAAAAGAAAAACCAGGAGTGAAGTGTACCCCAGGTTCATACAAAGGAGCTAACATTTTTACAGGCACATGCCATCTTATTTCATCCTCAGCATTGAGACCATGAGCCAAAGCAGCAGGCTTCCCAGCCCACAGAACGAGTAAAGCTGAGTGTATTGAGACAGGAGGCTGACTTACAAAGCAGGGTGCACTGTTGGCATTTATGAACACAAAGAGTTTTGTTGCACTTGCCTGAGCCGGGCAGAGGCCCAGGGACCACATGGCTGAGAGGCCGACGACCAGAGAGACATGCCTGCCAGCAAGGCTGAGAAGCACCGGGGACAAAAAAAACTGTATCCTTATTTTGTAATCTATTAACTTCCCAGTCAGCCCTATAGTCATGAGTATTGTGAGTTCAATATGGCCATTGCAACAGATTACCAAACCCAATAGAGAAGTAGAGTGCCATGGGAAGGTTGTTTGATATCAGAATATGGTAAAAGAAGTTGGAGGGTGGAGGCATGTCCGACTTCTGCATCATAGGATTCATCCTTGGGCACATGTAGAGTTGGATCCTTCTCCATTAGGTAGCCCAACATGGCTTGCATGCCAGTTTTTCTGTTTTGTTTGTTTAGGTTTTGTTTTCTTTTTGGGGGGTGGAGGGATCCTTTCAGTTTTCAATGCCTAACATACATTCACTCCAACACTGTGCCAAACTGTTCCCTATGACCCCTCCCCAAGACTTCTAACACAAGGTCCTCTGTGTCCCTCCTTCGCGCTTCAAAAGGTTTGGAGTGGACACCCTTGTCTTGCCAAAGGATTTGGTAGAATGGGCTTGGTTTTCAATCTGCTATTAACAAAATACTTTCCATCCTGTCCTCCCAACAAGTCTCTGCTTAGATTCACTGATGGCTCTCACCATCCAGCCTGGTGTAACCCTAATCCCTCTTGATAGATATCATGGCCTCTGGGGACTTACATACACACTCCCCACCGACTATACCTTCATTTGTGCACTTTCTAATAATCTCAGCATATTTGAATAGCCTTACTCAGAAATACAACTTTTTTTTCTGCACAAACATTTAATTACTTGATAATCTAGAATATGCTTTCTCAAACTGCACGTCCCCATAGATCCTTCCTCTTGGGAGGATTCAGTTCCCAGAAAGCAGACCAATTTGTCCAAAATCAATTGGCAAGAGCTAATTTATTACACAGCCCTTTTGTGGAATGACCACTTGACCATATTATTGAAGATCCTTTCAAAGTTTGCCTTTCATGTCACAGGTGTTCCTTTGGACTAGCCAGCCAAGTTCCTTGATTGAAGTTTTCCAGGTATTGTGTTTGATACTTGCACTTCTCCAGTGCTCACCTTTAAACACGGTGCCCTTTCTTTATTTTCTTGGCCTTTCCCATCCACTATGGTCCTGCCAACTAAATCGTTGTCTTTAATGCCCTTGAATAGTTTAAGAAATTAGTTAACAGTCTTTGATGGGTTGGCCATTCTGCTTATGGCTCACTAATTGATTAGGTAGATTGACTTCGTCTTTTATACCTTCCTGCCAGGTGAGACAGTAGTATAATCTTCAAACTTCTGAGCCCAACTGTGTTAGTTCAGGTTGACTAGAGAGACAAATTCATAGACACTCATATGTGTGTAAGAGAGAGTTTTATATCAAAGAGTAATTTCACTTTAAGAAAATACCCTAGCCCAGTCCAGATCAAGTTCATAAGCCCGATATTAGCCCATATGTCTGATACCAAGCTACACATTCCTCTTCAGACTCATGTCGCCATGCAATGACGCCGAATGCAGGAAGATCACAGGCCAGTGGGTGGAAAGTCTTCGGGATCCAATGGTGGTGGAAGCATCTCAGCACTGGCAGGGGTCTCCACGTGGCTCCATCAGATCCCAGGCTCTAGCATAGCTCCATGTGTCTTGTCAACAGGAATATCTTGCAGGGAGTGTCTGTCTGTCTATCCCACCTCCAGTGAGTTATTTATCTCCTTAACACCTCCAATCAGGTCATCAAGCCACAACCTGATTCTTAGGCTGAACTCCACCCCTTCACTCTTAATGGTCTCAAGTTGGCAACAGATTATGTAACTACCACACTAACATTCTGGTCTCTTCATTGATGCCTTCGTGTTCTCTGCCTTCACACTTCCAGCTCCATCTGCCCAGGCACAGTAGATATACACACTATTCTTGCTCCTGTAACTCACATACCTGTGCTGCCTACCCTCCAAGCAATGTGGCTCTCAGCAGAGCATAAGAAATGAATGTACATGTCTTCCCAACTTGACATTCAGTGACATCATGTGGTAGCTTGAAAATATTGACCATCACACCACTCTCTGCAAATAATAAAACCCTTTCCTTTTTTCCCCTTCCATCTGCTCAGAGAAGTCACCCTGACCCTAGGAGCCTATAGTGTCATTTCTTTCTCTTAACTCAGTGTCTCACTATAAATACTCATTTTGCACCTGGAGGTGCACTGTATTATTCACCAGTGCATGCATACTCAATGAGGGTGAATCACCCAAATTTATAAGGCATTATTTGGAGATTGATCCTTAGGGGGCTAAAAATATAGATAAAACGATGTCTTTTAGCTCTGCCACGGGCCATCATATATTAACAGATGCCCAGATCCCCAATGGTTAAATTGCGTGGAGAAGGGGAACAGCAATTAAGAAAAGAAAAATGCTTGAAAAGGCTCCTTGAGAGCAGGGAATCTGGTATGCGGGGCTGATCATGAAAGACGTTGAGAAATACAGCTCTCGTAAGACACGCAGGTGTACAAGATGCATCTCAATTTTATAAGGCATTATTTGGAAAACCATTAAGCAATATTTTATACAGATTGAAAACTATCGTGAAGTGTTAGCGTTGGAGAAGTGTTCGATTGGTTAGGAAATACATTGCATTGAGTAATAGAGTTCTGAGCATACAATGGAATGGTATGAACTTGATGCTCTTGTTATTGTAGTGACATCAGTACTTGACTTCCCAGCTGTGATAGTTAGGCTTTATGTCAACTTGGTTGGGCCAGGATTCTGAGTAGGTTGGCAGTAGAGGTTTCTCCCATGATTTAATAGTATAATCAACTCCATGAGGTACCTCATGTGGGCAGCACAGCAGTTGTAGGATGATTAGGAAGGAGTGCAGCCTCCTTGCTTAGGCCACAGCCCTGATGCAATTGAAATGAACTTTCCTCAGGGGTGTGGTCTACTCCTACTTAAGCAGACTCTGTGAGAAATCTTGTATCTTCTCTTTTATTTTTATTTTTTTTAAATCATTTTATTAGGAGCTCATACAACTCTTATCACAATCCATACACACAATTGTGTAAAGCGCATTTGTACATTCATTGCCCTCATCATTCTCAAAACATTTCCTCTCCACTTAAGCCCCCGGCATTAGGTCCTCATTTTTCCCCTCCCTCCCCGCTCCCCCCTCCCTCATGAGCCCTTGATAGTTTATAAATTGTTATTTTGTCATATCTTGCCCTGTCCGACGTCTCCCTTCACCCACTTTTCTGTTGTCTGTCCCCCAGGGAGGAGGTCACATATAGTTCCTTGTAATTGGTTCCCTCTTTCCTACCCACTCCCCCTCCCTGTTTCACCACTCACACCACTGGTCCTGTAGGGCTCATCTGCCCTAGATTCCCTGTATTTTCCTTCTTTTTTATTTTTTAATTGATTGGGATTAATACATAAATCATTCCATAGTTCAATCATGTACAGCAGAATTGTACATTTGCTACAACCCCTTGACATCATCATCCCTTTACCCCACCACCTCCTGAGTCCCTCTCCCCCCAAGCCCCTTATTCCACTTGCTGACTCTATAGGTTCACCAGCCTGGTTTTCATACTCCCAAAATAAAAGCACATATACCACAACTTCAAGAGGGTGACCCCCCACAATGATATAAAACTCCTGAGATATCCTCTAACATATATAACCAAAAAGCAGACAAAACAATACAACCCCAAAATACATAAGATTTTGGAAAGCTGATCAGGTCTAGCTGATCAGGGGGAATCTGCTGACAATTTTAATTGTTCAAGTCAGCCTTCTGCCTTTGACCTTCTATACTCAACTCTCAACTCACCATAGCCTTCTGCAAACCAGATGCTCAGACTTTAGGCTCTGATACTAATCCCTCCCTTCAACTTCAGATTAATGTGCCTCATAATCCTTCGGTGACTGATGATGGTGTGCTTCTTCCACATGGAATTAGTTGACATCTCACTTAGATGACTGCTTGTTTGGAGCCAACCTTTAAGACCCCAGATGCTATTGTATATAATAGCTGGGCACTATCTAATTTCTTCACATTTTGCTATAACACCCGTCTCTTCCATGTCTCCTTCCTGGAAGTAAGTATCGAGCAGGGCCATGATGTAAGAACTAATTGTTCTTAAGTTGTGGCTGGGATTTAGTGTGAGCCCCCAAACCATTCCTGAATCTATGTTTGTTTGTTTGGTCTTTCAATTTATTCTTACTTGGGAATTAACTCATATATCATGCCATTGCATCATAGAATCTCATCAAGCAGGATTGTACCATTGTTTCATAATCAGTTCCCAAGCATTCTCTTTCTTCCTGGGTACCTTGATAACTTCTCCCTTTTATTGCCCCAACTCCCCTGCACCCCCACCCCAGTCCCCTTGTTCTACTTGCTATCCCTATAGGTACATCAATCCTAGGTTTCATTTACCGAAAAACAGAAAAACTTATTTCACAACTTCAAGAGGGTAATCCCCCACTCCATAGCACCTCTGAGATATACCCTGATATGAACAAAAAAAGTCCTAAATATGTCAGAATGATTGTCACAGGCTTGCCAGAACAATCCATATCTTAATACAACATATATGGCATTGTTGTAGCAAGACCTTATTTGTCTGCCTAGCAATAGCTCTCCAAAATTGGTACAGCTGTCTTTTGCTTCCTCAGACACCTTGTATTTTCTGGCTTAAATTCTCAAGTTGTGGGTGCAGCTGAGGTCAACTTGTATCTTCTTGATCTATCTTCCTACTTGACATTGCCCAAGCTAACCCGCGATTCATCATGTCGGGAATTGAAAATACATTTCTCACCCCTGTAAATAGACAACATTTACCTTATCTACTGGTGAGGGTGAGCTAGATGTACTGTGATGATTAGTGACATTCTATTTTGGCTCTGAATCTCCACTTGGAAGGGCAGGTGTGTGGAGACCAGAGGCTAAGCTCAGGCATGTGGTTCTGCCTCCATAACAAGGCTGCTGTGGAGGATGGAGGAGAGGATCCTATAAGGATCACAGCATGCCAAAAAAAAAGTGGTGGTTTGTTTTTTTTCAGTTTGTGAAAGAATACTTTAGGAAGAGTTGAAAATTCAGTGTGATGACCTAGCAAAAAAAAAAATGACACTTCATAAACAAAATGGTCTGGATGGAAATACAATTCTCCAAGATGGGCATGCGACCACTGCCATACCTATGGATCTAAACTCCCTGAAGGTTGGAGGGAGCCCTCCCAATGCCGAGGGTCTCCTACTGCCACTGCTAAGAACCCACCGTGAGTCACTGCCATCGAGCTGATGACAGCTCCTAGAGACCCTTTAGGATGGGGCGGAACCGCCCCTGTGAGTTTCCCAGGCTGTAACTCTTTACAGGAGTGGACAGCCCCATCTTTCTCCCTTGGAGCCGCTGATGGTTTCAAACCTGACCTTGCGGATCACAGCCCAACTCCACAACCACTACACCATGAGGGCGACCCTACAGAACAGGGAGAAATTGACCCTGTGCGTTTCATTGGGAGAAAGATGGGGCTTTCTACTCCTGATAATGCTTAGTCTCAGAAGCAGACAGGGGCAGTTCCACTCGGACCTATAAAGTTGCTATAAGTCAGCATCAACTCAATGGCAGTTTGCTTGGTTTGGGTCTTGGGGGTTTTTAAGGCTGTAACTCTTTGTAGGCATAGAAAGTCTCTTCTTTCAGGAGCTGAAACCAAGGGCTCAAGTAGAAAGAAAATGTTTTTTAAATGGTGATGGGCAGCATATGTACAAATGTGTTTGATGCAATCGATGTATGGATTGTTGTAAGAGCCCCCAATGAAATGATTTATAAGTGTGTGGGGGGGGGGGAGAAGAACCCATACCACCAGGTGTTTCCCCTGGGCAAGGGTCCTACAAAGGCACAATGTTCACTATGTATAAGCACATGTGACTGGACAGATCTACACAATAAATTTAAAGGACTTTAAGTGTAGTTTTGTATTACATGCAATGTTTTTAAACTGAAACTTGAAAGCCAATGCCCCCTCATAGGATGAGCCTTAGAACTACCTTTTGCCTACATGTACTGTTCTTACATCACCATTTTACAAAGATCCGACCCCACTCCGAGTGGATCCAGAACCCGTAGTCACAATACGACTCTACACCGTCACTTACATGCTTTCCTACTTAATGCAGTCATTTCCTGGAGGGGAGAGATGGTATCAGATGCATCACCTAGCCCAACAGCATATGGCCCCAGGAGACCTTCCAGAAGGAAAGTCTGGGAAATGAATAGAATTCAGCCATCCACTACCCACCTTTCTACTTAGCTAGGTGACCTGAAGTAGAACTAATTCCACAGCCTTTTAAGGAAACATATTTCCCAGAACACAAAGCCACCTCTTACCTGTCTGTACAATTGAAAGCTACAAGTCTCTGAGTGGGATTGTTTACCTGGATTAGTCTCCAAAGTACAGAATTGGCCGATTCAGGGGTAACCCTGCCCACGGGAACCACAGATAGTCCTCAGGGAATTTGGTTAATGTGTCAAAGAAAACCACCCTTACCTTCTGGCCAGCCCAAAGTCAATGATCTTAATTTGGTGTCCTGTTTGATTGACGCACAGTATGTTCTCGGGCTGGGAAAGAAAGGGAAGATGGGTTAGCACAATCAACAGCTAGGAAGTCTGCACTCCCATCCTTATTTGCCAACAGACCTGTTTCCCGGGTTCCCAGGAGAATGAATGGCTGAAGGAAGCCCTCCGGGGCTCAGACAGAGAGTGGCAATGAATAACACGGGCTGGGTGGGGCCATACGGAGTGGTGTGGACTGTGAAGAGCTAAATGGCTTCTGCTCTGTGTCAAGGGGAAGCCACTGCTCAATTCTAGCTGTGGCTCAGCATGCAGAAAGGCAGGCCCAGTTGCCAGAGCTGCTCATTCCTCAAGAGAAGCCAGGTAGCCAGATTTGTATCTGAAAAGTCCATGCTCTTAAATGTAGGCGGCAAAATCCAACTGAAGCACAGATTCCCAGTGTGAGGGGAGATGCACCTCCAGCAGGACAGCAGGACGAGTCCTGTGGCCTTGCTCCCAGTGAAACTGATGAGAACTCTACAATAATAAATCACAACACTCACACCCTCTGGAAATGGTCTGGGGGCAAACAGGATTTGAGGAAACATCTATTCAAAGGGAATCTATTGAAAAAAGCAACAACAGTAAGTCTGTGGTATTTGGACCAAGATGGCTCTTTTCCCTCTTCTTTCCCAGCTCAGCAAGGTGAAGGCTCCCCTCCAAGAACAGATGGTTTCCTCCTCCGCCTCCAGCTGCCAGCCAGCCAGCCTCATTCCCTGAAGGAGCAGACTTTCAGGGTTTATCATCTCGCCCTGAAGTGCCTGTTCCCAAGGGTAATGGTAAGAGTGTGGTTGAACGGTGTGCGTGCGGGACTGCATTCTGCCCAGCTTCCACTCGTGGAAGAGACTTTATTTGGCACAACACACTGAGATGACCAGCCCCCCAATCGCCCTTCCCCAGCTCATAAAAAGGTAGTCCCATGTCAGGAGAGGCAAGCTGAGATGACGCCAAAGCTATTGCCCCCAACACTTCGTGCTAGTATCCTAGAGCAAGACGTCACATAAAAAGAAACTCTGCGGTGTCCCCAGACCCTGCTCAGGAGCCCTGGTGCAGAGATTTTCCTGGGGGGAGAAGTGGGCCATAAAATAGCGCCGAATCTCATTTCAAGGAACTAACTTCATTGACAACAGAGCTTGGGCATTTTTAAACTTAAGGGTGCTCTCAATAGTGCGCAATGTGGCAATTAGGAGGCGTTTCATGGAATTAACGGAGGACTAAACTGTAGGATGGCTAGTTTGCCAAAGACCTAACCCAAACAGTTATAGGCAAGTGGTTTCCAACTCATGGTGACCCCCATATGTGCAGAATGAAACTTCTCTGTATGATTTTGAAGACTGTGACCTTTCAGAATCAGGTCACCAGGACTTCAATTTAAGCACCTCTGGGAGAGCTCAAACGGCCAGTCTTTCCGTTAGTAATCACGTTCCTAACCTTTGGCACTACTCAGGAGCCCCAGCTGCGGAGGAAAGAACCCAGAAACAGAAGAACTGAGAGGTGCCCTCTGGTGGGTTCAGAACAAAAATCAAACTCTGACCTCAGCAACCACTGTGTTAGAGAAACCACAGTTTGAATTTGCTTGTGGGGAAAGTATGTCCTCAAGCATTGTTGAAAACAATAGAACGTTTCCCCCCTGACAATTAGTGGGCTACAGTTGCGTGAGTTGAATGAATGAATGTAAGAGAATCTGCCAATGTCACTATCATCCCAAGACGACATGGACATATATGAAGCTATACCTCAGAGAATCAACACTGGGGAAGGAAAGATGGTCATCGGGAGGAAAGTACACCCTATAAATCTAGCCAACCTACTCCCCATCATCCATGGTGAGCCATGGAAATGTACCCCTGTCTTGAAAAACCCTCTTCTGCGGGCCCAGCAGACTTCAATGTCACCGACACAGTTCCCATGTAACAGTAACTTGCTGCCAGCCAAGCACTCTGCTTAGTATTATGTGCATGCCACGCCCAGGACCAGTCCTGTTAAAGAACAGAGTACAACCTCAACACCATCAATGGGATATTGAGTAGATGATTTAGTGCAACCATTCAGTGGAATATCAACCATAGATAAAGAGAAGGAGGAAATGTTAGGTAGCTAGAATAGGGACAGGGGCCTGTACAGGCCCTCCCATGCCTGCATGCCCCCCTCACCACCACCCACCAGAGGAGGTTGGGAAGGAAATCAGGTGAGTAGTAAGCACCTATGAGGACCCCTTAACCTCGCATGCTGCAATTCAAGCCCCCAGCCAGCTGGGAAGTACACCTGGGCGGTCCAAACTAGGCTCAGGACCGTGACATCACCCAGGTGGGCTTAATACAGCCAATGGGGTCAACCAATACCATCAACCACGCCTCCCTAGTCAGAGGTTTGAAATTCCCTGGGCTGGAAGGCCATTCTCTTTTTACCCAGCTCCTGGTCAGGGTGAGGTCTCCCTCCCCCTCTCAGGTACACATGAACCCTCCTGGGCCTACTGTAGCCCACAGCCTCCTTTCTCTTACGCTTTCCCCCAGTGCTCTCTCTGGCCTCAGTTCCCCACGTGTGGGTTCACTGTTCCACGAGGTTGCTTGTGACCAGCTGTGAGCCTCAGCGCGGCTTCCCTGAGACAGCATATACCCCTTTGAGACAGTAAAACCGGAAACTTCTCCCATCCTTCATAAAAACTCACTTGGATTACAAACGGGCTTTGGCAAGAATGCTTTCTCGTGTGAAGCCAAGAACCGAGGCATTACCCACTCGATAAAGATGTTTAACGTGTTGCTAACTAAAAAGCAAGTTTAAAAACAAGATGCATAATATTCTCTCTTTTTATGTGTGTGTTTGTGCATCATGCCAGGTTGCTGACAATAGAAAGCTCTCGGGGTAGACTGTAGTGGGAAGAATTTTCATTATGTACTTTATATATTTAAGTATTTTTTTATATTGTTGAATTCCTATTTTAAAATTTTTAAGCTAATCTTAAAACATTTGAAAAAGAAGAAACATAATTTATCACTTTAATCTTCAAGTAACCGTGAAAGCTTTACAGATGGGAGAACTGAGGGTCAGAAAGGCAGTGTGACATTCCACAGCTGAGCGATGGCAGAGATTTGGGGATGGAAGCCAGAAGCTCTCAGAGATAAGAGCACCAGAGGCCCGGTAGCCTGGGTCCCCACCTCACTACATACCCAGGGCAGAGCCTGACCTTGAGGTCCAGATGCAGGATATAATGCTGATGGAGGTAATGCACGCCTTCACAAATCTGTTTGATGAATAAGACCACATCCAGTTCAGTTAGATGGTACTTCTCATCCATGATCCGGTCAAAGAGTTCGCCCCCATCCACACTGCCAGGGTAAAAAGAAAGACAGGCATCAGACTGAGTAAGATCCTTAGAGAATGTACTAGGAGTCAATAAAAGGTGCCCCAGTAAACACAAATTGTGCCTTTAGTTCAAGGGGCACTTCTCCTGCCAGCTGGGGTTTTATCAAGACCTTTGCTGTAGCCCATTCCTAGCTCCTAGGGTAAGTGATTAAAATGGAAGAGCAGATGAGATTGCCTTTGGTGTTGACAATCTTGGCTCATCTGGAATACTATAGACAGGATGGCAATTCATTTGCCTATAGATGCCAACTAGTACCTACATGGCAAGAAACATAAATGGGTGAATCAGACAGATGTAAGAAAAAAGCGTTTTCTCGAAACAGCTCTCTGGTCTGTATTTTGCTTTGTTTGTTACTTTAGAAAAAGACATGGACGTGACAAGTATTTGAATCTCTTCAGCTCTTCAAGAGGAAAACAGCACATGGCCTCTGAGCACTTGGCCTCACTGTCGGTGGGTAATTGGGAGTGGCAGGGACTGTGGCAATTAGGAGGCTGGTTGCCCTGTCTAAAATGGGCAGTCATGGTGAGCTTAGTACACTGCTGCAAACTGGAAGTGCAGACCATCATTACTGGATCTTTTACATGTTCAAGAGAAGCCAGAAGTCTAGGTTTCAACTTGGAATTTTCTCATTTCTAATACTTAACAAATAATTTAACATTTGAAAATTTGCATAGGCTAGACTGACATAAAACTGAAAGTCAAACCAAGTTTACTGGTCCGTAGTTTGTAACAAGATGGCCTTCCATGCTCCATAAGGAAGTCAAGTAGCCAAACTAAGAAGAGGGGGCAAGATGGCCCTGCGTGCCCTGGTGAGAGGTTAAAAGAGAAGGAGAGCCTTCCCTGGAACCATGGCCCTGAACCTGCCCTGAAGGGAAGCCACTGGCCCATTTCTCGAGACACTCACTACTCCATGATGAGGGTGAAGCTGTTCTTGCTTTCAAAGGCATCGTAGAGCTGGATCAGGTTCACATGGCTGAGCTGGTTCATGATGTTGATCTCATTCTTCACATCCTCCTTGTGCAGCCAGCAGGGAAAGGGAATTTCCAAACAACAAGTCAGGAAGAGGAGCCAGCTGATCCTCCAAGAACACACACACACACACACACACACACACACACACACACACACACACACACGTTATCCTTCGATTTCACACCAGATCACTTTGACTCAACACCCAAGCCAGGTTCTTACAAACCAGAAGTTAGCTTAATCTAAACCACCCATTTCACAGCTAGAAAACTCATGGTCTGTGAAAGAAAGGGCCTTGTTTCTCAGGGTCACACAGGCCACAACCTGACAGACAGCTCAGGCTGAGGGGTGGCAAAGCCATCTGATGCCCGGAGAGTGGAAGTCATGGAAGGGGGCTAAACAGGCAGCTCAGATTTCCTCCTCAGCTTGCAGGGGATCAGACTAATGTGGGGCTCAAAGCCATCCTGGACGCAGCGATGGAAATCTTGAGCTTGGCCAGGGAGACAGGGCTGGCTCAGGGAAGATGCCTCACCCGGTCCTTGGGGCTCTTCACTTTAATGATCTTGGCTGCCAGGGCGAGGCCTGTCGACTTCTCGGTGCACCGGTGGACCTGGCCAAATCGGCCCCTGCAGAAACATGTTGACCCCGCTAACTGAGAACCCAAGAGGCTCACAGTGAAGGACCATCCTGCATTCTGGCACTAAATGATCCTATATCCTTTCCCCACCCACACACCACAAGCTAACCTGGAGGAGGTGCCCTCTAGGGTAGCCTAGAGGACACCCTAGTTATCAACCCCACCCCAGGTGGGATCATCATCTCCCCCATACCTTGTGGGCTACTTTGAAACCTAGAAAATAATATTTTTACTCCCATATCACGTATACTGTCCTACACTCTAGGAAATATCCACCTCACCTCACACCAAATATGGTCTTCTGCACCTCACATCGACTCTCCATGGGCTATTCTATACCCTAAAGCAGTGGTTCTCAACCTTCCCAATGCGGTGACCCTTTAATACAGTTCTTCATGTTGTGGTGACCCCCAGCCATAAAATGATTTTCATTGCTACTTCATAACTGTAATTTTGCTATTGTTATGAATCTCAGGCAACCCCTGTGAAAGGGTCGTTCAACCCCCAAAGGGGTCACAACTCACAGGTTGAGAACTGCTGCCCTAAAGGGTGCCTAACCACCCTTTACTGTGTGCGCACTCCTGCTCGCTCTAGAATATACTTTCCACATCTGTCTCCAGGAGACAGTTACACCTCACCACACCTGGTGAGTTGCCTTTTGCGTCAAGGAAAATCCAGTCCATCGCCCTCTGTATGGTCGATCCCACTCTCTCATGCTAAATGGGACATCTTGCCTTGGCTCGATTAACTAGTTTCTTGGAACCATTCAGCAGCACACCAGCTCAGTTCTCCAGGTGTTTCTGTTCCTAGCCCTCCCCTTCCCACCCTCCTCCAGACAGAAGGCCCACCTACCCTCCTAAGACTTCATGCTGACATACTGTATACCCTGCTGAGATGGAGATCTCCTTGATAGTTACCACCCGGTGTTCAAAGGGGGCTGGTGGAGCCGGACTGTCATCTGTTCAGGAGGCAACAAGAGACTGTGAGCTTCCTACACACAGCCCACACCCCATAGCCACCCACCCCTATGCCAGGCCCACTTAACAGTTCTGGTTCACTGGTGACAAGCTCTCTGCCTCCCTTATCAGCCTCTGGTATTTTTAAAGTCACTTTCTCAAGAATCATCTCATTTGAACAATTTAACTCTGTCAAATTGAATAAGCTGAGTCTCAGAAAGGTAAGTTCACTAGTGCACTCATTGACACAGAAGACTCAAACCGAAGTCTCGCGGCACCGAGGACAGTGAGTGCTTTTATAGTTAATCATCATAACGTGCTGTATCTTTTCCATTGATTGCGATCTAGGAGGGAATCTGGGGCGGGCCAGTGTGGGCCCACAGGAAACAGGTAACGGAAGAGAGTTGAATAATGAGAGTAATTTTAAAGGTACAAGCAGAGTCATGGCTACCAGGTTGGGGTGGTGTGATAGGTAGGCAGCTGGAGAAATAAGCACTCCATCCTCTTTCACCTTTCCACATCCCAGATCTCCTGGCTGCTGGTTCTAGCCAGAACTCAGAGGGCAAGAGATCTCATTGACACAGCCCACCAGGGGCCAGTTCCTGGGCACAGGTCAGGGAAGGAAGTGGACAGTGAGTCTACAGGGGATCTGGAAGACAACCAGCACTTGAACAGATTTTTTTTTTAATGGTTTAGGGTTAATATTTTAAATCTTGTCCTTCAGAGGTGATATGAATACCTAGAAACGTTACATGAAATAGAGAAAAGGAATAAAAGAGAGTCTAGAATGCACCCCAGACACAATGACCTAATCTAGCATGTCTGTTCAGGGCTGAAAGTCGCTCATGCAAGGAAGTCAACAGCTTGTGCTGACATTTGTTTGAGACTTGTCAGAGGGAGCACTGGACTCACTTGAGTGTTCCACTGACAACTCTAATACCTTAGAAACCATATGCCTAACAAGAAGCACATCATGCTATTTTCTTTGAGTTTGGTTTAATGCCAGTAATGTTCTGATACCCAGAGTAAAAATGTGAATCTGCTCTGAGAGCACGTTGCTCATTCTTTTGTATTGCAAAGCAAGACTGCAGCCTGGAGTGTCAGTGCATATAACACTATTTTCTCCCTGGGCCTCTGTAAATGTTTGGAGAGCTTGGATTCTTGGTGTGCATAAGAGAGACTTGAAATCTTGAATTCATGTTTGCTAAGCTGTACAGTAAAACTGCTTTCTGATCTGAGAGGTTGTGCCACCAAGAGGCTTACACAGAAAGCCCTGGGGCCAGAGGCCAGAGTCAGCTCCTGTGCTGCCATTCCTAACCCTGTGATCTTACAGCCGTGTCTTACTCACGCCTCTCTCCTCGTGGCCTTCATGGCCTGAGGGGAAACACAGGTGCAAATACACAGTGCTCAGTGCAGTGAGGCTTCTGTTAATGTCAACATTATCATTATCCAGGTCTCTAGAAAAGACACTTAAAGTCACCGTCTTCCCTTGGCTGTTGTAGTGATTAAGGGAAGCCCAGGCCCACCTTTGGAACAAGTCATACAAGGTCAGAACGACAGGGAACTGCAGAGCCCAGGACAACAGGCACAAGTGGCAAAGGCACAGGAGGCACCTGCAAAAGATGTAACCACTTCTCAGGGGCTCCCAGAAGGTCTGAGTCTGGCCTTTCAGCAGCCACATAGAATGGGAGTTGAGGCCAACAAAAGTGTGACCTTCAGGACTGGAGGATTTGAAGGTGTTTGGGTCACAAGAACATGTGGATAAATCCCAGTGGGGCAGTTAGCGGTCCTTACCACCCCTTCCCTATTTCAGATCTAATTAACCCTAACCACTTAGCACAAGGTGACTCCAACTCATGGTGCGCCCATGTGTGTTAGAGTAGCACTTTGTTTAAGGTGACCAGATTTTAACATTGGTAAAGCGGGACACCATTGATAAAACTCATATCCTGGCAAAATAGCCACATGGCAGCCGAAAACCGTATACCCTAGCTTGTCTTGCATTCTTTCCAAAAATCGGGACTTTTTCAAAATGCAGCGGGACACGGGACAAATTGTTAAAAGTCGGGACTGTCCCACCAAAAGCGGGACATCTGGTCACCTTGACTTTGTTCCACGGGGCTTTGAGTGGTTGAATTCTCAGAAGGTGATGACCAGGCCTTTCTTTTAAGATGCTGCTGGGCAGACTGGAACTTCTTTAGGTTAGCAGCCGGGCACTGGGTGTGAATGGCTAAGAGTGGGTTACATACACCAGTTAAAGGACTTGCTTTTTGCAAAGGAGCCTCGCTCTCTCAGTCCACAAGAATACCAATGGTGCAAAGCTCCGGCAGACAGTAGCTTTGGGAAATCTACCTGGTGGAGTCTCTCAGTTCACCTTCTGCTCTATTAACAGTTCATCAGAGGTTAGCTCTCTACATCCCTATATTGTGGTCTCCCAGCAGGATGTCCCAAAAAATGCTATAGGAGGCTGCAGTAGGGCCCCAGAGTAGGCCCTCCAAACCCACTCACCCTGGGATGCACAGCACATGCTGAGGTGGGCCTCACTTACCCAGGACCACGCTGCCAGCATCAGTGCCCGGGGGCATCCTCCTCTCTTCTTCAGCTCTCCCCGAGGCCCCTGCTGTGCAGCTCTTCCCAGAGCCTTTGTCCTGCTGCCAATCTAAGACCTCCACGGCATCGTCTTCCTGGTTCCTTCTGGCCAAGCTTGGTTCCAAGATGGGCTTGGTACCAGGCCCTGCTTTCTCCTCTGCCTTTGCTCTGCCGTCACTGGAACCGGCTCCCTGGGGAGTCTGTTCCTCCCGCTCAGTCCCAGGAGCCTGCCGGCAGCACCTGGGCCCTGGGAGGTCATGCTCACCTCCACAGGCTACTGGGTGGGCCTCCACAGAGGGTATGGGGCCACTGCCTTGCATCACAAGCAGCTCCCTGGGAACATCTGTCTCTTGCACACGTACAGAGATCCTGCAGCAGAGAGAGATTTAAAGGACTCCCGAGTCAGAACATAGCTGCTGCTGCCATTTCTGACATTTAAGTCTCTTGTGACCCAGTTTTTCCATCTGTCTTATGGGACCCAACAGGTTGCTAGAGTAGTAAGCGACTCCCACCCGTTGTACCTAGATCCCCAACCAGAGGGGGCCAGGTTCCAAGACAGCTGATGCCACCAGCTCTCAGACTCCACTGATGGGCCTCTGAGATGTCTCTTAGGTCTTTGGAAACCTGTGTCTGCACTGGGATCATAGTGGTGTGGAGGCCGGAGGCCTGAATTCTGGTCTTACCTCTGCCACTGGGTGGCTGGAGAGCCCTGAATGAGCCCAGACTTGATTTCCAATTTTGTCAAACATGGATGGTAACCCACACAGATGTAATGAAGAATTCGACAAAGGGAGGACAGTAGAAACATAGCGCTCCAAAAGGAAGCCCCCCTCCAGTAGCTTAAAGCTAAACACCCTCTCAGAGCAGCTGAGCTTCTGCGGGTAGTGCCTGTCCCTGCCTGGGGTGGGAGTCTGAAAGCCTGGGCAGCTTGCCCACAGCCAAGCACTGAGCAAGAGGCAGCCGAATCCCTCCAATACTGACCCACCGCCTGCCCCCTGGTAAATAAGTAGGGGTCAGTGATGACATAGTAGTATGGGGAGGGTGACATCTAACCCAAGCTACCCCAAGTCTAGCTCAGGTCTTGTCCCAGATTGAGGGACACAGAAAACTACCGCAGCTGGATGCTGGAGGACTCTCAAGTGGTCAGCTGAAAAGACCACCATCCAAGGTCAAAAACCACAGCATTTCCCCATGATTTTCACTCCCAAGGGCCATCGGTTAACCCCTAACACACTGCCATGCATTCCCATGCCACCTGAGGAGCCAAAGCTTGTTTTCAAAGCATACAGGTTGCCACACTCACCTCCCATACCCATGGCAGGCACTGCGAAATGATTATAGCACTTATTCACCAAGGCCAGATACTGCCACAGGACACTTGACAGAGGCAACCGCTGCCAATCAGAGCCAGCACTTGTGTCTAAATCTGTTGTTTTACGAAATATACCCATACATCTAGCAGGACAGGTAGTGGCCCCCTACTTCCTGTGCCCCACCTGGAGTTCAGTTCTGGGCTGAAATTGAAGTAGAGACCTTCTCTCTTTCCCCAAGGCTTTTTTGAGGGACCCCTAAAATGTTCACCAGAATCCCTAGTGCAGCTGTCCAGGAAGCTATGGTTCAAACCCACCAGCCCTTCCAGTAGAAAAAGGCGAGCTTATCTACTCCTGGAAAGATGGATAGCCTTGGGGCCCAGTGCAGGGTCACTGCGAGTCAGAGCCGACTCCGTGGCAGTGGGTGTGGTTAGTGTTTGGTTTGGGAACAAGCTCATTTCAGGTGAAAGACGAGGCTTTCTGCTCCTGTAAAGATTTACAGGAGACCCTAGGGAACCATTCTACTCTGTCCTCCAGAATGCTGTGAGTCCAGATCAACTCGATGGCAGGAGCAAGTTCATGGGAAGTTCACCCCCTCCTCAGATTCCACATTTAGACCTGGCTGGGACCCAGGGCCACCGGCCAGGAATCAATCCCTCCAGCTTGTTGGCCCTCCTGGGAGGCTCCCATTTCCTTGTGAACAAAGGCAGACAGGTAATCAGGTATCTGTTCCAGGCTCAGGAGCAAACAGAGCCAAGTCTCATCCCGAGCTCTCAAGAGGCTCCATTAGCAGTAAAGGCATCCCAAGGCCAGCACAGGAGGGCGCTAGCCCCTCAGAGAGAAGCCTGGGAAGCACAGCACCCTGCAGTGTGCCACCCTGGGGACAGGATGGGGGTGCTGCCCCTGGGGGCAGACACAGGGCTAAGGAGGACTTGGGAGCCTACAGATCCTGGTTCTCCTACACAATCTAGTCCGGAGGCCACATTCTACGTGCCAGGTTTAGAGCCCAGGACATAATCCTCCTGAAAATCCTCCTAGATAGCCCTGCCTGCACTGATCGCCCACATCTCAGTGTACTCTGCCCTTCCTCTCCTCGCCATCCAGACGGGGCTGACTTCAGTGCTGGCCAGATGAAGCAGGGGGGTGTCATGGTGACCGGCACAGAATCTAGGCCACCTGGAGTCAGGTCACCACTCCGTGAGTGCCTTGCACTCTGAGCCCAGCTCCTCATTAGTAAAATAGAGACAGCGAGGACACTGGCTTCATGAGGATGCTGTGAGACCGGCAGGAGATGGTGATGGTTACGAATTGGCTAGTGCGTGATGAACTCCATTCTATGACAACTGAGCCCCAAGCTCTGATTATTGCTCTAAAAGCTGGTGGTTTTCAGTCCTTCCCCACATTGAAATCACCTGTGGAGTTTTTGAAAAAGAGTACCGACGCCTGAGTCATCCAGACAGTAAACCAGAAACTGGGCATCCTTGCTTTTTTCAATCTTTAGGTGATTCTAGCGAGTGGCAGTTGAGAACAGGTGAAGTGCTCTAAGCCCTTCAGTGTCACCACCTTCTCCGGTCTTGCCCTTACCAGCAATGTGCGCAGTGGACGCTTAACCCATTCAGTTGGTCCAGTGGCCAGGCTCCAACGGAAGGGCTGCTGTCAGATGAGAAGAGTTCCCCTTACCTTGGAGGCCTTTTTCCACAGTCATCAGCTGCGCTGGCTTGGACAGGAGGCCCCAGAAGTTCTGGCGGATGAGGGCTGGACCCAGATTTCAGCCTCTGCCCCTTGTCTGAGGTCTGAGTGTCAGGCCTGTTGGTCAGGGCTCCTCGTTCTGCACCCAATGCAGCTTCTTGGTTGTTGAGGACCCCACTGACCCTACAGGAGGTTTCAGGCAATTCCAGGCCAGTCCTGGGGTTCTTGCTGATTGACCCATGCGCTTTGGCTTCCACCTCTGTGGGCGGCAGCAGGTGGACAGGGGACACTTGGCCTTGGCCAGGGACTTCATCTGCTTGGCCTGGTGGGGCCGCTGCCTGGATGAGGAGGTCTGCTCCTGTCCCTGCAGTGTGGATGAGAGGCCGCGGCTCCACTGTCCCCTCTGGTAGGTCTGCTTTGTGGCTTTCTACAGAAAGAGAGGCCAGTTAAAAATGCCCTGGTAAGAAGCAATCTCACTTAGAGGGATCTCCCCGCCCAAATATTGCAAAGAACATGCACAATGTCCTTCAGTGCAGCCCCGTTCACAATAGCCACATATACTCAACCCACATGGCCATCGGTAGGGTTTTTTGACTAAATCATGGTACAGCCACACAATGGAATATCACACAACAGTTAAAAAGAAATAGTCACTCTCTATGCCTGGCAATGGAGTAACCTCAGGATTTACTGTAAGTGAAAGAGCAAGGTGGGGAAAATGAATGGATGCTTGTTGGTCTAAGAAGGGAAGATGCGTGTGTGCTTACAATAAAATAATGGAAACACAAGACCAAAGCTGTTTAAGTGATTTAATATTAAGGAGGGAGGAACCGGCAGGGTGTAGAGAATAAGGGTAAATGCTAGACTTCTTGGAATAGACCTTGATTTGTCTATTTGATTTTGGAACCTTGCAAATATTATGAAAAAATATTTTTAAATGAAAAACATTTTAATGAAATGATTTTAAAAAAAAGACAGTGGAATAAGTAAACCTAAGTATGGAGTGGGTGACATACATAATCTACCTGGTGAGGACTTTAAAATACAGTCATTAATGTCTCTCTCTGGTGGGATACAGGAAAAATTATCAGGAGGAAAAACATCAGCAAATTTTCAGTAATTGTGTTTTTGGTGATGGGGTTGCTGTTTTTTATTCTGAAGCCGTCATGGGGGGTGGGGGGAATAAAGCACATGGCCACTCACCTTCCCGGAGCCCGGCTTGCACACCTCTTGTTCTCTGCGTGAGCTTTGCTTTCGCTCCCTTCTCTTCCACTTTCTCTTTGCTCTAAAATAACAACCATATGCACTATCAACACCACCAGCCTTTAGGTCACAACCCATTGTGAATCGTTTACCATGCACCCAAGATAGAGGTTCCTGGGTTACCTCGGGTAGTTTTACAATGATGTTATTATCGTTAGCTGCTGCCAAGTCCATCCTTAACTCATGGCAACCCTATGAACCCAACCTCTTCCCAGTGCATCACAGTACTGCCGGAGAAAGGCAGGCCTGGGCCAGAAGGGGTCACAATAGGCTGGACCTCAAATGACAGCTGGCGATGGAAAAGAACATCTTAAAATAGCAACTCTGATCAGTTGGCTGTGGCTACGCAACTGTGGGCTTGAGCTGAATTCTGAAGTCAAATAAAGCCATTCTTGTGATGAAAGTGCCACAATCAATTAATAAAGCCTGCCTCGTTGGATTCAGAAGAGGATGTAGAACAAGGAATATCACTGCTGACATCAAATGGGTCTTGACTAAAAGCAAAGAGGACCAGAAAGCCATTTACCTGCGTTTTATTCATTATGCAATGATGTGTGTATAATAAACTATGGATGACACGGAGAAGAAGGGGGTTACAGGATACTTCACTGTGCTCATGCGGAGCCTGGACTTGAGCCAAAAGGCGCAGTCATTCGAACAGAACAAAGAAACAGGCATGTCCGAGTTGCATTCTTCCACTTACTCAATCCGTAAACTGAATAAATAATCCAAGATGTTGGACTCTATGAAGAAGAACGTGGCATCAGGATTAGAGGAAAGTTCATTAACAATTAGTAGTATGCAAATTATACCACCTGGCTTGAGGAACGTGAAGATTTGAAGCACTGATGAGAAAGAGTGAAGACTACCACCTTCAGTATGGATTACACAATAAGGGAAAGAAAACAAAAATCCTCACAATGAACCAATAGACTGCATCATGGTAAGTGGAGAAAAGATGGAAGTTATCGAGCATTTCATTTTACTTTGATTCCCAATCAGCACTCAAGAAATCAAATGTATTGCATTGGGCAAATTTGCTATACAAGATCTATTTAAAAGAGCAAGCATGTTACTTTGAGGGCTAAAGTGCACCTGACCCAAGCCATCATATTTTCAGTTACTTCATAGCATGTGAAAACCGGACAATGAAGAATACAGTAGAACTGACGCTTTTGAGTTATGCTGTGGGTGAAGAAGACTGGAAGTACCATTGACCGCCCAAAGAACAAACAAATCTGTCTTGGAGGAAGGACAACTAGAATGTTCCTTAGAAGCCAGGATAATGAGACTTTATCCCACATCCTTTGGACATATTATCAGGAGGGACAAGTCTCTGGAAAAGGACATCATGCTCGGTAAGGTGGAAGGTCGGTGAAAAAGAGGAAGGCCCTCAAGGAGATGGATTGTCAAGGAGCTGCAACAATGCGCTCAAACATCGCAATCGTGAAGATGGCGCAGGACTGGGCCATGTGACGCTCTCTTGTACATAGGGTCACTCGAGTCAGAAATGACTAAAAAGCACCCCGACAACAACCTTGCCGTTAGGTGGGCGGGCGTGTGTGTGCCATGGTTACCACTTTGCAGTATAGCAGTAGGTAGCCAGGAGATTCGATTCTCAAGTCTTAGGTTTGAATTCCACCTTGATCACTTAGCCAGCCTATTTTAATTTCTTGTGTCTCATTTGCCTCATATTTAAATGGGGTTGATAATATTATCAACCTCAATAGATTTATTGAGAGGTTCCCACGGCTATCTTCTTGGTTTCAACTCACATTGATGCTACAGAACGGAATAGAATTGCCTCACAGCGTTTCCAAGGCTCTGAATCTTTACGGACACAGACTGTCTGTCCCATGTCTCTCTCTAAGAGTGGATGGCGAGTTCAGTTAGCAGTCCATTCTTAAGCCACGGTGCACCCGAGGCTCCTTATTGAGAGCAGAGATGGAGTCATTGTGTGCCCTGCACATAGTAACTGCCCACTAGCTCTGGCATTTTTGTTCTACCTGAGACAGAGCTGTTGGCTTAAAAGTGTAAGGGCACTTAGTTCAGGGCCTGGCATCAGTGAACGCACACCCACTCCCGGTTAACTGACTTATCTACACCCAGACTAGTACCTGCAGCGTGTGCACTGACCCCAGTGAACTCTCAAACAAATCATTCTGGATGGACGAACCACTGGTTGGATCACCCGGATGCTTCTGGGGGTTTTGAGCCATTGATCAGTAAAGTTCCTACACTTGGCAGAGCCTGGAACCCAGCCAACACCCACAGATCCCGGGGTCCTCATCACCCAAGGGCCTTCCCCTGGCTTTGCCACCAAAACCAACAAACCCACAAAGCTTGTTGCCTCCGAGTGGATTCCATCTTATGGTGGCCTCTGTGTTCCATGAGTTTGCTTGGCTGAAAATCTCCATGGAGGCAGATCACAGACCTTTTGTCCACGGGACTGCTAGAGGGGTTTCAATAGCCAACTCTAAGCTTAGAAAACGAGGGCAAATTGTACCACCCAAGGACAAATGGCTTTGCTACCTTAAGTAGTTGCCAGAAGTCAAAGCCAGCATGAGATGCATTTTGTCTTATACTACATTTTATCCTATTAACTGGTTATCAATATTTAAAATTTAGGAGATTTTACATTGAAATTCAAAGTTTCCTTTCAGAAAACATTGGTTAAATGGTATATTTAAAATACATGTAGTATATAAATGTGTGTGCACTTCATTGTATATAAATTATGCCTAAAGAAAAACTGCTTAGAACGATGAAAAATACAACTTTCCTCTAGTTCCTAAATGCTTCCTCCACCCCCCACTATCATGATCCGAATTCTACCTTGCAAGTCTGGCTAGACCAGAGGATGTACACTGGTACTGAGAGGAACTGGAAACACAGGGAATCCAGGGCAGATGAGCCCTTCAGGACGAGTGGTGTGAGTGGTGATACTGGGAGGGTAGAGGGAGAGTGGGTTGGAAAGAGGGAAATGATTACAAGGTGCTATGTGTGACCTCCTCCCTGGGGGACGGAGAACAGAAAAGTGGGTGAATGGAGACTTCGGACAGGGCAAGATATGACAAAATAATAATTTTTAAATTATCAAGGGCTCATGAGGGAGGAAGGAGCGGGGAGGGAGGGGGAAAATGAGGACCTAATGCCGGGGGCTTAAGTGAAGAGGAAATGTTTTGAGAATGAGGGCAATGAATGTACAAATGCGCTTTACACAATTGATGTATGTATGGATTGTGATAAGAGTTGTATGAGCCCCTAATAAAATGATTTAAAAAGAAAAAAAAAAAAGAAAAACTGCTTAGAAAAAAAAAATTAAGTTTTTATTTTCTCGTGAAAACTCTGGACAAGGCCATGGCAAAATTCTCCAGAACAGTTCCCTCAAAACTGGGCCATTTAGTGCTGTCTCCTTAACCTTAAGATTGAGGGTCCATTCCACTGTTTATCCTACACCAGGATAAACACTTCTGTCAATCCTATTACCTGCTCATTCTCTTGGGATGTCAGAAGAGCAACCTTTGCCCTCGAAACACAAGGCCACAGCACATGGAAAGCACCAGCCAGGACCTGGCATGTGGCAAGCACTTAATAAATGAATGTCAGCAGCTGTTGTCAAGGTCATCGCCATCTTCATCAAGATGACCCAGATGCTTTGGCCTCTCTTACTCTGCCCTGAGCTCTGTGGTTAAGGGAAATGGAGGCATTATCACCGGCCTCCTCCTGTTTCACACCCCTCTCCCCCGGTAGAGAGGGACTCACACAGACTGCCCTTTGGCAGACCTTGATGGGTCACTTCATCCTGTTTCTCGCTCTGACTTCAATGTAGGCATGTAGGCATGCAAATCAACACACACACACACACACACACACACACACACATACACATCACACATAGCTGGCTTCAGTGGTCCTGAAGGCTCAACCCCTAGACTTTGTCTTAGTCTGCACATCCCGAGGAAGTGAAAGAAGCCCTTAACACCATTCTAGAAGACACATCCTCTATGAACACTTGGTCTACCTCTGGACGAGCCTGAACCTGAGCGAGCGTGCCTGGCTTTAGTAAGAATCTAATTATTTTAACAATCAAATGAAGAACTAGTATATAACCCAGAAAGTTCTTCCCAAAGTCTTGACACAATTTTCAAATTTAACAACTGGTTCTAGGATTTAGTTCATTTCTAAAGAGGGCAAGATATGACAAAATAATAATTTATAAATTATTAAGGGCTCATGAGGGAGGGGGGAGCGGGGAAGGAGGGGAAAAATGAGGACCTAATGCCGGGGGCTTAAGTGGAGAGGAAATGTTTTGAGAATGATGAGGGCAATGAATGAACAAGTGCGCTTTACACAACTGATGTATGTATGGATTGTGATAAGAGTTGTAGGAGCCCCTAATAAAACTATTAAAAAATAAAAATTAAATAAAAAAAAATTACCATGCCCCTGCTGTCTAAGTAAGCTTAAAAAACCTCACTGCCATCAAGCTGCTTGTGACTCATAGTGACCCATAGGATAGGGGAGAACGGCCCCTTCAGGGCTTCCAAGTCTGTAAATCTTCGCAGGAACGGACAACCTCATCTCTCTCCCATGGAGCACCTATTGGGTTTTAACTGCTGAGCTTGCAGTTAGCGACCTGTTGCTTTAGCCCAGCAGGGCTCCACAAACTCCTGTAGGAAATGCATAAAGGAGCTCTGTAAAGTCTCCACACTGTGCGGTTTTTAGCACAGACAATGTGTTAAAAAACAAACAACCCGACGGCCCATTCTCAGGGACTTCTTACAAGATCAGCCCTGGCCTCCGTGCAAGGACAGAAGTAGAAGCTTCATGTCATGGGTCGATAAGGAGCAGATAGCTGGTCTGAATATTAGAAGCATATATTAGGAGTAAAGCTGTAGACAATGGCTAATATGATTATTATATTAAACACAAGCGATATCAATCATGTGCCAATGTAGCAGCATGAAAAAGAAATGCTGCAAGGATTCAGAAACTAGAAAGTTCTATGCTTTTTCTATATCTAGAAGTGTTTAAATATCTGCAACATGGGTGACAGCTAATTTGATTAATATTAAAGGATTCAGATGATACAGAAAGCATTTTTAAAGGATGGGAGGAATACACAGTCACTGTACTAAAAATAATGGGTTAACATTAAAACATTTCACTAGGTAGTATATGATCAAGAACTGATGTGTTGAAGAAGAAAGTCCCAGACACACTATAAGGCACCGGCACAAACAAGAGTTCGGGAGTGTATGGAAGAACAATGGAAATGTTTCATCAAGCCGATGCAGTCAGGGAGGTACTCACTTGTCTGTGCCAAGAAATGTGGGAGACCTGGCCAACCAACTGGAAGGGACCTTTATTTGTGGTGATTCTAAAGAAAGGTGACTCAACAGAATATGTAAAGCATTGAACAATATCATTAATATCGTATGCAAGTTAAATTTTGCTGAAGATATTTTGTAAATGGTTATAACAATGCATGCACAGGAGCTGCCAGAAATTCAAGCCCGATTCAGAAGTGTACTTGGAACAAGGGATAGCACTGCTGACGCCAGTTGGATCTTGGCAGTGAGCAGAGAATACCAGAGAGACGTTTACTTGTGTCTAACTGACTATGCAAAGGCATTTGGCTGTGCAGACGATAACCAATTATGGATAACATTACGAAGAATGGGAATTCCAGAATACTTAAGTGTGCCCACGGGATACCATACACAGAAGGACGAGGGGAGACAGATAGTTTAAAATCCAGAAAGGTGTGTGTTAGAGCTGTATCCTTTTATTGTACTTATTCAATCTACATGCTGAGCAAATAGTCTGAGCAGCTGGGCTCTAGGAAGAGGACTGTGACGTCAGATTTGCAGGAAGGCTCATCACCAATCTGCGAAATACAGATGACATCACCTTGCCTGCCTTCTGTATGGATTACACCTTCATGTAAAAAAAGGAACAACAATCTTCACAACTAGATGAACAGACAGACATGATGTAGGGAGAAAATACTGAAGTTGTCAACGACTTCATTTGACTTGGAGCATCAACACCCATGGAAGCAGCAGTCAAGACATCCAATGAGGTATTGCATGGGGCAAACCTGCTGCAAATATTTCTTGCAGTGTGAACACATCAGGATGCCATGTTGAGGACTAGGTTGTGCCAGATGCCATCACCTCATAATCCTGTGAAACTTAGACACTGAATAAGGAGGTAGAAGAAGACTGATGCATTTGAATGATGATGTGGGCATAATTGGGCATATTGAATATACAATAAATACAAGAGGAGTGAACAAATCTTTCTTGGAAAAAGTACCACCAGAATGCTCCTTAGAAGCAAGGATAAGGACCCTCATCTCACGTATTTCGGACATGGTGTCTGGAGGGACCAGCTTGGTCCTGTGAAAAGAGGAAAGCCCTCCACAAGCCGGAATGGCTGCAACTGGACGTAAACACAGCAAGGCCTGTGAGCGAAGGACTGCCAGGTAATGACTGACACGGGCCGCAGGGTTTGTTATGACAGCCTCTCTACTTCCATTGTTTTGAAATTTTTCAAACGGAAACATTCAAAATAAATATACAATAAGGTCCCATTTTCCATCCACCAGACTGGCAAAGAAGCGAAACATGGAGGCCACAAGCGTTCCTGTAGGTTACTGGCAAGAGACTCAACTGGAAATCTTCTTAGAGGTTCCTTTGGCTTAGCATCATTTAGCATGACCTCTTCTGGAAACGCACCATCCAAGAAAACTCCTATTTGTGTCAAAAACATCCACCCGTGGATATTCACTGCATCAGTGTTTATTATAGGGAAAGATGAAAAATAATGTAAACTGCTTAAGAAATTAAAACGCATCCCAGAAGGGAGCCCTCGGCACTTCTAACAAGAAAAATGAGGGGAGGGAGGGAAAATGAGGACCTAATGTCGGGGGTTTAAGTGGAGAGAAAATGTTTTGAGAAACGATGTACAAATGCGCTTTACACAATTGATGTGTGTATGGATTGGGATAACAGTTGTATGAGCCCCTAATAAAATGTTAAAAAAGAGAAAAGAAAAAAGGAAAATGAATGGGGAAAACTTTCTAGGTACAAAGGTGAAAAGATATCCAAAATATATTGAGTGAAAACACAATCAGAGCTAGACGATGAAATCAATATTTGAGTTAAAACACAGGGGCAGCGTGTAAAGTGCTGTGTTTATAACTCACAGATGCAGACTCCTCGTATACCTGGAGTCCCTGTGGTTTGCTGTGGGAAAGGGGCCGAGGGGTGCTGGGGTTGGTGGGCCACCTAGGGCATGGAGAAGGAGGGAGAGAAATGCCCTTTAACAACAACAAAATCACTAAATGAAAGGGAAAGTTGCTGTTAACTTGATTCCAATGCCTGGTGACCCCACGTGTATCAGAGTAGAATGTGCTCCACAGGGTTTTCAAGGGCCACTTTTTCAGAAGTAGTCCACCAGGCCTTTCTTCTGAGGTACCTCTGGTTAAACTCAAATATTCCATCAGGCAAGTGTGCTAATTGTTGCCTCCCTCGGGGACTCTGATAACATGCCATGTATCTGTTAGGTTCTCATTCGTTTAAGGCTGAGATTGACTCTCAATGCGAAGAAGAGGGTCACTTCCCCCTTGCAAGACACATGTTTAGGAGGCTCAGAAAGTAGGGAACTAAGGCTGAGCATGTGTGCTCTGGAAAAACCCACAGGGCAGGTAGAAGTCAAGATGGGTGGACCTCTGGCCTAGCCTGATCCCTGCCAGCCTCAGGAGCTGACAGAGTCCGTTCAGACCCCTTAGACTTCATGGTACCTCCGGAGCAAGGCTGGTTGATATCCGCTAGGATTTACAATGGTGGCTCCAGGCCGTCTGAGTGTGGCTAAGTGGTGAGGACTTAGCTGTTTCCAAGCACGGTGTTGAGTCTGCATACCTATCCCACCCTCCACTCACCTCCCAGCCTAGCTTCCATTAGCCAGCAGGGTTGATTACATAACCTTTGGGAACAGCCGCTCCCAGAAATGCTGCCCTCCACCCCCAGGTCCCAATTCCGCCTGTCCTTCTCCATGGGTCACTGTCAACACTCACATCCCCACATGCCACCCACTCCAGGCACAGGGCACAAGGTTGGGGACAGGAAGGTGGGAAGGGGAAGCTCCAGGTTTCTGAGCACAAAGGGTCTTGCCAGGGTAACTGATCACCCCCACTTCCTCCCGCCCAGGTGTGAAGGGGCAGAAATAAGGCCCTGGAGGAGAGAAGTAGCAGGCTCTCAAGGAAACACAGCGGGCAGCTTTTCCCTAATTATTTGCCGGGGTTCCCACTTCTGGGTTTCCCTGGGGGAGAGCAACAGGTCAGTGTCCGGTCTGCAAACAGGGCTAGCTCTCTAAGCCCACCTGTAAAGTCTCTCTTCTCCACCAATAGCTTACGTAGGAGGCACCAGAAGGGGCCCACAACCCCACCCCACCACCGTCATCTCCCCTGGGCCTCTGGGCCAACCTTCCAGTCAAAGGCAGAAGGGCACCAGGGCAGGGAGACAGCAACCAACCTCCTCAGGGCCTTCAGTCTGGCTTCCTTTCCTCCAGGGTACACTCCCTTGTGTGAGGAAATCCACCACCTTCGAGTTCTGGAACATGGCCCCCAAAAAAGTGATGGCCTTATCCACGGCCACCACCATCCTGAAGAGGGCTTCAAGTCGGGTGCTATGCTGGGCAGCGTCCTGCTGCACTGCCCTCACCAGCTCCAGGACCTCTGGGGTCCCGGCCTGGGCGGCTGCCTGGGGGCTGCTGCCAGCCCCAGCCAGGCCTGGCCCTTGGGAGGCCTCCAGACGGCGAAGGCCTTGTTCCAAGTGGCCCATGCCGCGGCATACGCACTGCAGCTTCTCCGCGAGGTCTTCCTGGCAATGCAAAAGCTTGTCAACCTTCTCATTCAGCACGTTGAGCTTTCGGTCCGTGGTGGTTAGGCACACCTTGCCCAGCACCGGCAGCTCCGGGGACCCTAAACTCTCCTTGGAGGCTTCTGACATCCTGATGCAGCTGAGACAAAGGTGGAGAAATGGAAAACTGCAGACGTCCGGTTTTCACTTCCTCAGTGGGATCTGGAAGTTCATCGCCTTTGGGAGCGAACGGCCTTGCCCTAAGTGCCAGCCCACTCAGTCGCCGGTTGCTTGGGGAGTCCAGGAGGCCAGCTCCTTTCTGTGCCTGTGCTTATCTCCCCCTCTGCCGTGCCCTCCCTGAGTGACAGGCCGGGCTTGGCCCAGGCCCCTCTCCTCGGGCCCTTTGACATCATGGCAGTGTTTAACATTCCTTTCTGAGAGGCTGCTGATGGGCAAATATTTTAAGAATCTGCCTAAGGCAGGCAGGGGTTCTGTTGCTGAAACGAATGGTTAGAAGCAAGGGATCCTTTAGGCAACAACTGGTCAACCTGTGCTAAAGAGGGGCTCCTGGGACTCCAGGAGGAAGGGAGGCCTTGAGAGGCCCAAAGCAGTGACTTTCTAGAGAGTTCCCTGCCTGTGCAAGTCTCCACCTACCACACATGGAATTCACAATACAAAGCAAGACCCAAAGAGAAGGAAATGCGAGACCATACCAAAAAATCCTGATATTTTTCCCATAATGAAAACTTAGATGTTTTTGCACATTAAAATAAAAATTTGGTGTCCTTACTCAGTGGTTGCCATAGACATGTACTTAAGCTGCCTGCGTGGAGTCTGCAAGCCCTCCTTACACAGGGCCTCAGGCACTAGGCACTTGTACCTAAAAATAAAACTGAGGGACAATGGCCCAGGCTCCTCTTCAAGTGCCACCCTGCAGGTCACAGGTTTTGTGGAGCCCTCTGGGGAACACTTACCAGCTGCTCCCTGTTCTCCCCAGGTGTGACCATGCCAGGGTTGGGCACCACTTTCTAACTGGAAGCAAATTCAGTAGGACCCTAGGGAGCAGCTGGTTTTGTGGTTTCCTATTTCTTAGCTCCAGAACCCTCCGTTCAAATGAAATATTTTACAGAAGCATAAATAAATAAAAACAGAACGTGGTATAGTGAATTAGGCTGCTAACCAAAAGATCAGCACTGAACCCACTAGCTCAGTGGTTCTCAATCTTCCTAAAGCCTCAGCCCTTTAATACAGTTGCTCATGTGGTGGTGACCTCTCAACCATAAAATTATTTTCGTTGCTACTTCATCACTGTCATTTTGCTACTGTGATGAATCAGGCGACCCCTGTGAAAGGGTCATTCGAACTCCAAAGGGGTCGCGACCCACAGATTGAATCCCGCTGCACTAGCTACACCCCCTGAGAAAGGTGAGACTTCTGCTCCCATAAAGATTTACAGCCTTGGGTACCCAGGGGCAGTTCGATCCTGTCTTACAGAGCCGCTATGCCTGGCAGTGAGCTCAATAAAACAGCCCAAAGCAAGAGGCTCCAGTTGATACTGCAGTAGCGTGCAAGGGGGCAGCACAGACTGTGAGGCGAGCACAAACCCCATTTCCCCCCAGTCCCTCATCTGCAGAACGTCAGACCCAGCAAGGTATTTTTGTTCAAGGTCGCCCAGTTCTGTGGCCTCTTGCAGATCGTTCAGGAATAGTCGGTGTTGATGCCAAAGGGGTTGTTGTTGTTCGGTGCCACTGAGTCAGTTCCGACTCATGGCAACCTGACGCACAACAGAACAAGACACTGCCAGGTCCTGTGTCATCTCACGATCGCTCCTGTGCCGGAGCCCATCGCTGCAGCCACAGCGTCAGCTCATCTCATTGAGGGCCTGCCTCTTCTTCACTGCCTTCTACTTGGCCACACAGGATGTCCTGCTCCGGGGACTGGCCTCTCTTGACAGCGCATCCAAAGTATGTAAGACAGTCTCCCCATGCTGGCCTCCAAGGAGCACTCTGGCTGTACTTCTTCCCAGACAGATGGGTTTGTCCTTTTAGCAGTCCATGGCATTTTTTTAAGACGATATTATTTATGTTAGGAAATACATATATTTGTTTATGATAATACATCATTTTATTGGGGGCTCTTACAGCTCTTATAACAATCCATCCATGAATTGTATCAAGCACATTTATACAGCTGTTGCCATCATCATTTCTAAAACATTTTCTTTCTACTTGAGCCCTTGGTATCAGCTCCTTTTTTCCCCCTCCCTCTCGCACCCTCCCACTCTCGAAAACTCTTGATAATTTATACATTATTTTTATTTTCATATTCCACACTGTCCACTGTCCACTGTCTCTTTTCACCCACATTTCTGTTGTTTGTCCCCCTGAAAGGGGTCGTTGTATGTAGATCATTGTGATAGGTTCTCCCTTTCTCCCCCTACCTTCCTCCTACCCTCAAGGTATTTCTACTGAGGGGTTATTGGTCCTGAGGGGGTTATCTGTCCTGGATTCTGCGTGTCGAGAGCTCTTATCTGTACCAGTGTACATGCTCTGGTCTAGTCAGGTTTGTAAGGTAGAACTGAGTCATGATAGTGGGGGCAGGGTGTGGGGAGGAAGCATTAAAGAACTAGCAGAATGTTGTGTGTTTCATCTGCACCCTGGTTGGCTCGTCCCTTCCTTGTGACCCTTCTGTGAGGGGATGTCCAGTTGTCTACAGATGGGCTTTGGGTTTTCATTCAGATCCTCCTCGTTCCCATCAGAATGGCTGTTTGTTTGGGGTCTTCTGTTGCCTGATAGCTGATCCCGTCAACAACTCATGATCATATGGGAGGTGTGCTTCTTCCATGTGGGTCTTGTCATGGCACTTTCTATAATCTGCTCCGGCCCACCATTCAAATGCATCAATTCTTCTCTGGTCTCCTGTATTCAGTGTCCTACTTTCACATGCATAGGAGGCCATTGAAAACGCCATGGTTTGGGTCAGGTGCACTAGAGTCCTTGCTTTCCAACATGCTAAAGAGGTCTCGGGCAGCAGGTTTACCTAAGGCAAATTATTTTTTGATTTCTTGGCTGCTGCTTTCATGAGTATTGATTGTGGATCCAAGTAAGACAAACTCCTTGACAACTTCAACCTTTTTTCCATTTAATCATGATGTTACCTATTGGTCTGGTTGTACTGATTTTGGTCTTCTTTACACTGAGTTGTAATCTATACTGATGGCTGAAATTCACACTATTAAGGTGACCCCTACCACTTATCTATCAGTTTGTTGTGCTGTGGTGGCTTGTGGGTTGTTGTGATGGTAGAATCTGTGTAACTGGTATTTCAGATGCTGACAGGGTCACCTAGAGGCTTTAGCAGAGCTTCCAGACTAAGAATAGACGATGAAAAAAGACTCGACTCCCCACTTCGGAGAAAGGAGTCACCCAAAACCTTGTGCAGAGCTTGGAAACATGGTCAAGGGGAGGGACTTTTTCAATGTCCTCATAAATCTCCACTAACCTAGATAAAGGCAATTATGATAATAAAATCTGACCTAAAAATGTGACATCTAAAAGCATCTTTAGGTCATTTTGCTATTTTAAGTCACAGTGACTGTGATTGTTCATGTTATGTGTTGACTTGACTGGGCTATGGTGGCCAGTTGTCTGGTCAGACAGTAGTCTAGATGCTGCTATGAAGTACTTACCTATAAGTCAACCAGTTGGCTTTAAGTAAAGCGCACCAATCTCCATAACGTGCGTGGGCCTCATTCCATCAGTTGAAGACCGTAACACTTTGCTGCCCGGTTATTTTAAGCCAAAACTATCCTGTGCTTTCAGGCTTATAGAGTGCATAAACTAATATAAGTGTGAGCGCAAATTAGCTTACGACCACTCAGGAACATTGGAGCATGCAAACACCAGTATATTCACGACCAATCAGCAACATCAGTTTAAGAGCAAACCTGGAGGTTTCTTGAGGAAGTACTCTGCCTTCAATAGACATCCTGCCAGAATTCCCTCTCTCCTCCACCTCCTGAACTAAGGATTTTACATCAAATTCTTAGATTATGTAGTCATAATAATCATACATTTTAAATATAAGTATCTTACTGAGTCTATTTATCATACCCTAAGAGAGCAACATCTAAAAACAGCCCCCTTATTTGTACATCAACCACTTTGACCGAGGAGGCCTCACGTAAGTTGGGGTCAATTTCCCATGTTGGGCACAGAAGAAAAGAGCAACTTGTTCCTGTCATATAACATTATTCTAGAGTTGCCCCAAATCAACAGACACTTCTACAAGGGAGCTGAGGTAGTTAGTTTATTGTGCCAACCTGGCCGGTAAACACATGTGGGATTAATTGAAGGGCGCAGAGATAAATGGCTCAGTGAGCCTCGCCTTT